GCCCGAAATGCCCGATATCGACGAGGAGGTGCGTTCGCCTTCAGATCAGCCGCGTCCGTTTACGATAACAGCTGAGAGAATGAGTGCAGCAGATTCGGCGTGGGAGTCTCTGCTCAAGGATGCCAACAGCCGCGGCTGGATCGCCATGACTTACAACATCCAGGAGTTCTCCGAGCTCGCCCCACGCGTGCTCGCGTTGAAGCCATACGTGCTGAAAGGGACGCAGATCGTGATGAATACGCTCTTGGAGGAGGGCGCCCACCTTCGCGATCAGCTCTCCCAGCTCGAGGGACACTCCCAAGCGCTGCGGGCGAGGGCCGCCGTGCTGGTCGACGACCCGTCGGTCAGGGAGAAGGCTGGCCAGCTCATTCGCGAGGCCGAGTCCATGGTGACGGAGACCCGCCTCACGGTCCACGCTGCGAAGAAGAAGCTCACGATCGCCCGCCTCCGCCATCAGTTGGTCGGGGACATGTTCGACGCGATCATCGCCGCGGACATCGAGGGCTCAAAGTTTTTGTGGACAGGCTGGCACAGCTCTGATTGGATAGCTCGGCAAGTGCGCTGCAGACTCTTCGAAGGGACATCGTTCTCCTCCGCGCTCGCCCTGTACGAGGACCAACCGTCCCCTGTCTCCGACGCCCCCTTCGACGGCTCTTTCTAGCGCCTAAGGACAGGCCCCTCGGAGTTGTTGCGCGGGAAAAAAGGCGTCCCCTCTGAGTGATACACCCATCCGCTTGAGCCGCACTAGCTTTTCCTCTGGCATTGCACGAACGTGTCGTCTCCGTCATTCCTGTGCGTATCGTGTTTGTCTCGCTTGTGTGTGGTCCCTCCAGTGTGACTGGGACAGGCTGCCAGTGTGTCATGCCTCGCACGCCTCGCTCAGGGACGTAATTCGGCCTCCTCGAATTCGGTCTCCCCCTCTCGGCTCCTCCCCTTCCCCGTTGTTCCGCTTTCCGCCCCCCCCCCGCCCCCCTCATGTGTTGTGGCAGGTGCTCCGTACAGGTCAGGGTGTGGAGACAAGGCTTCCGCCGTCTCGGCGCGGATCCGCAACTGCGCTGAGCCGCCCCCGCCTCTGCCTGTGCCCTAGATTTATTCGTCCGCAACTGCTCTGGCTTCATCTCTCGTACAGTCCAGCCATCGATTGCTGTCCTGCGGGGGTCCTTCCCCAACTCCCTCGAGACGCAGTGCACAACAACAACAACAACTTCTTCCTCCTCCTCCTCCTCCTCCTCCTCTCCCCCCTCCTCCTCCTTCTCCAGGTGGCTCCCCTGCGGGCCCGCAGCCGTTTTCCCCGAGGCGGCGCGGCGGCTGGTGCCATCGGGGATGCCCCCAGCGCCAGGAGGAGGCGCGACGTGGTGACAGCCTCGCGCGAGTGCCGTCGGCCATGCTGAGTGCGCCGCCGGGAGTGATGTGGCGCTCGAGCAGGGGCCAGAGGCGCGCGGCGCGGAGGCTGCGCTTGGCGACGTACCGGCAAGCAGCAATCGACTTCGGCTGGCTTGGCACGCCGTTCGGCGCCAGCGACGGTGGATGGGAGCCGGTCGTGGTGTGGCTGCAAGAACCGAAGGGCGAGGAGGCTGCTCTGGCGTAGGCGCAGGCGGATGCCATCAGCTACAGAGTTGGGATCACGGCGTGCGAGACAACAGAATCGAAATTTGAGCCAGACTTGGCCAGCTACAGCACGGGGATCTAAACGTGCGAGAAGCGAGAGGAAAGGAAGGGACCAGACACCATCAGCTGCAGCGCTGGGATTTAGGGCGCGCAAAAAAAGGGGAAGGGAAGCTTGTGCCAGACGTCGTCGCTCGACACGACACTGGGGACAGCGCGTGCGATAAGCTGGAGTCGAGGAGAGAGCCAGACGTTATCAGCTACAGCACTGGGAACTTGACGTCCGAGAAGCGAGAGGCGAGGACACAAACCAGCATCGCCCAGTCCATTTTGCGGGCCCAGCAGAGGGCGCATAGGCGATGGGGGCGAGCGCACTTCGAGACAGGCGAAGGGCGAGCCCGACGTCATTCATCAGCTACAGCGCTGGGGTCAGGACGGACCTTGCGGGCAGTGGCCGGGCCGTGCGGGGAGCTCGCGCGGGAAGAGCGGGCAGGAGGCAAAGCTGGAGCCAAACTACTCTAGCTACGCTGCTGGGAACAGCGCGTGCGAGAAGTGGGAGGCGACGTTAGAACCCGACACCATCAGCTGCAGCGCTGGGGTCCGGGAATGGGAGAGAGTCGGGCAGTGGCAGCATCGAGAGGGAGACGACTGCACGGGCGAGAAGGACGGGCGGTGGCAGCCTGAAGCGGACGAGCAGTGGCAGCCGCAAGCGGACGGGCAGTGACAGCATCGAGAGGGATACGCCGGCACGAGCGAGAAGGACGGGCAGTGGCAGCCTCAAGCGGCCGGGCAGTGGCAGCCGCAAGCGGACGGGCAGTGGCAGTCTCAAGCGGACGGGCAGTGGCAGCCTCAAGAGAACGGACAGTTGCAGCCTCCAGTGGACGTGCAGTGGCAGCCGCAAGCGGACGGGCAGTTGCAGAGCGACAAAGTTGGGACCAAGGCGTGCGAGCCAGGCGAGTAGGAGTTTCAGAGTGAGCCCGACGCTGTCAGCTACACCGCTGGGACCAGGGTGTGCGAGAAGGACGGGCAGTGGCAGCACCGAGAGGGCGACAACGGGCAGTGGCAGCCTCGAGTCAACGGACAGTGGCAGCCTTCGGCGCACGGGCAGCGGACGCTTCCTGAAGACGGACACTGTTCGTGCGAGAACTGCGAGCAGTGCGAGAAGGATGGGTAGTGGCAGCAGAAGGCCAAGGACGAGCCTGGAATTACCGCGTGCGAGAAATTGGGTGCGAAGGTTGAGTCCGACGCCATCAGCTGCAGCGTTGGGACCAGGACGTGCGAGAAAGGGCAGGGGAAGCTAGAGCCCAATGTCGTCAGGCACAGCGCTGGGAGCAGCGCGTGCGAGAAGGAGTGCGGGAGAGGGATCAGCCGGGCGATGTGGGCAGCGCGGCGGGTCATCGCCAGCAAGTGGTTGCCGCACTAGTCGAGGCCCGCACGCGAGGCTGATGCAGAGCAGCAGCAGAGGGTGCTGCACAGGCCGTGCATCACGGCCCGCGCTAAACGCAGGTCTCGTGAGGGAAGCGGGCGCCCAGCCAAGCGTTGAGGCGCGGAGCGCCTGGGAGCGGGCGCGGCAAGCACGTGCTAGAAGGGCGCTGCGAGGGCAGTGGCAGCCTCCGTGCGACAGGGGGCGCCCGTGGGACAGGCCTGCCTCGGGCGCGGTGCCCGCAGGCGAGGGCGCGGCCGCGGGCCGGGGCGCGCCCCCCCCCCCCCCCCCTCCTCCGCGCGTCCCCCGCCGCTTCGGGAAAAAGCTTAGAAAGCGCTCTCTCCTCCTCCTCTCCTCCTCCTCCTCCTCCTCCTCTCTCTCCCTCCTTTCTGCTCGTCCTTCCTCCTCCTCCTCCTCCTCCTCCTCCTCCTGTCCTCCTCCTCCTCCTCTCCACTCTCTCCCTCCTCCTCCTCCTCCTCCTCCTCCTCCTCTCCTCCTCCTCCTCCTCCTCCTCCTCCTCATCCTCCTCCTCCTCCTCCCCCCCCTCCTCCCTCCTCTTGCGCGTCTTCCTCGCTCCCACTCCCCTGTTCCTTTTCGCTGCCGCCCCCTCGGGAGGGAAACAAAACGTGAACGGCGCGCCGCCGCCAGCGGCCACTCGGCCTTCACCCGAAAATTCTGGTGTTCCGCAAAGGGTGACCCCCTGGCGGGTGCCCCGCGGCAGCGTGCCTTTGCTGCTGCTGTCGCTCCCCCGCGTCCTCCTCGTGCCCGTCGCTGTCCTCCGCCTGCCGAACCCTGCCGGAAACCTGCCGCCCGAGCCGGGACATGTTACCTTGCCCCGCGGGCGTCTGCATTTCGCCTTTCCGGGGGTTCACCGAGAAGTGGAGGAGGAGGAGGAGGAGGTGGAGGAGGAAGTGGAGGAGGAGGAGGAGGAGGTGGAGGAGGAAGTGGAGGAGGAGGAGAAGGGGGAGGAGGAGGAAGAGGAGGAGGAGGAGGAGGAGGAGGAGAAGGGTAGGAGGAGGAGGAAGAGGAGGAGGAGGGAGAGGCGGAGGAGGAGGAGGAGGAGGAGGAGGAGGAGGAGGAGGAGGAGGAGGAGGAGATTTGGTTTGGCTCGGGCTTGCCCTAAATACCCTACATGTTGGCCACGGCCCCTTCTGGCCTGACTCGGGCTGGCGCAGCGGTCGACCGTCAACAGCGAGGGCATGGTTGCGTCGCGCCGTGTCGACGCGGCGGCGGCCACAGCACGGGCGTTCAAAGCGGGTAATGCCACCGGTGGCCCAGAGACTGCGGATGTGGAAGGATCTGCGCCATCGGGAAGCCGCGATCGTTCAAGGTTGAACGATCCATGCGGTGTCAGAAATCAACGCCCAGGTCGTCGCCACACGATCTTGCCGTATTACTTTGCCCTGTTCCTTTCGGCGTGTGTCTTTCCAGCTTGCTTGGAGCAGGGGTTGCCTTCGCAAGAGTCACTCGTCCTCTTGGGTGTCCTCTGCAGTCCGTCCCGACTGTGATGGCTTCGCTGCCTCTCCTGCTCATTCCGTCCGTCCTCCTCGCCCTCCTCCCTCCTGCTCGTCTCCCTCCACTCCGTCCTCTTCTCTCGTTCACTCGTCCCTTCTCCCCTGCTCCCCCTCCCGCTTCCCTCCTTCTCCATATCGTTCCCCCTCCCTCTCTCTCTCTCTTTTTTTCTCCCCCCGTTTTTATCCCTGCTCAGCTTTCCCTCTTTTGTCTGCCTCTTCCCAATGTCCGTTGCCTGCTTGCTCCCAATGGCCGAAAGGCGTCCCAGGGCTCAGCAATGTCTGAGGCTGCAAACCCGAGCTGTCTGACTGCTGCTCCCGGGGTGGGGTGACTTGGCAGGTACGAGGAGGAGGAGGAGAAGGAGGAGGAGGAGGAGGAGCAGGAGAAGGAGGAGGAGGGGGAGGAGGAGGAGGAGGGGGAGGAGGAGGAGGAGGAAGAATACAAGGAGGCGTTGGAGGAG